AACCACTTCTGGATCATCTGCCAAGAACGTATATGAACAGGTCCCCGTCCGAGAAAAGGATGGAAGGATCCTGTTCATATGGACCTGTCGTCAGACAGAACACTAAATAAATATAAATAACCTTTACTGAATCAAATGCTTCGATGTAGGAGGATTGTTTTCAAATCGCCACTACTGACAACTTACTTCAAGGAGCATAGCCCTTCTTGAGGAACCGTTTTTTGTTTTAAACAGATACTATGAGTATGAGCTTCTTTGTTCAGTAAGGCCATGTCGACATTCTTGTTCCTTGTTTCGTAATGAATTTCGAGCATAAGTCTAACAGCAAAGACCTCATTCCGTGCTGTAGAGATGCTGGTCATTGTTTGAGAAACGAAGTACACACCATTGTGTGTTTTACAAAGCGTCTTCCAAGGTCAGTTTAAGTGTATATAAAATTCCTTGCTCTTAATTATTTGTCGTCGATTTGTGAACGGACGTTCCAGAAAGTGTGGTGTATGTTAGTTAGAATTCACACGAAGATAATGTGCGTAGAAAATTGTTCATGGCCGTATATTACTTAAATATGAAATTGTGTTAATATAAAATTTTTCCGACAATTAAAATATTAGCATTTGCCTCTTCGGAGAACTGTTTACGTATTAATATTTTACTTAGAAGGCAGCACACGTGTAAAGCATTCTTACACTCACGGAAGGAATCAACCTGACAATTCCATAGTTGCTGAATTTTCAAAATGTGTAATTCTTGAGTCAAATTTGAATTTGAATTTGGTTGTTAGCCTTTTGTTTATTACTTTATGAAATTGCCTTGTTACGTGTCCAAAAGGTAATCAGTGCTTAGTAAACATAATTTCGGAGTTTCCTAAAACTATATTGAGGCATGGAAGGTTGTTATGTTTTACATTTATAACACCAGTTGAAGTTTCAATGTGGGTTTTGAGATTGGCATGCTAATTAATCTTATAACCGGAATCGTAGGTGTATTTAAAATAATGACTGCTCTGAATCTGATTAGTCTTGGTTTTTATTGTAAATGCTCGATCCACGGTTTTATAAATGTATTGTAATATCTGACCAATGATGAGATTTCTAAAATTTTACGACGTTTAAGTTCTGGTGTCTGTGTAGTGCTTCTATGACGCCAGGGTCGTGACTCCATGTGGATTTATAGGTAGGTACGACGTTTCAGGGGATCATAGCTGCTCCATATCTAGTATTGAAGTGATGGTTTCCGGAAGTGGTTAGTTTACGTAGGGTCAGGTGAAGGGTATTAATAGTCATGACGGGTAAGAAATGATGTAAAACCCAATTAAAATTATAGATAAGCTTATAAGTATTTCTATTTTGTTAGCAAGACAGTGTGTCGAACCTCTAAGTATATTATCACTAATCCAGTTTAGTCGAATTTTGTATAGGTTGGATTTCGTGCTTCGTTTATCAATTACAAGCAGAAGGAAAACCAAGAAATCGAGCATTAGATAGGCAAGTTTTATGTCAGCATTTTCGGAATTACGTTACAATTCTTTTAGCCATTATCTCGAAAAATCACGTAACTATATTTATGTAATTAAAATTATAAATTTATATATATTATTTTATTTTGGTGGCATATGTTCAAATGACATTCGCATAGTCGGTTATAATCATTGAAGAGATCGAGATTTTGTCAGCATATGTTCAAATGACATTCGTATAGTCGGTTGTAATCATTGAAGAGATCGAGATTTTGTCCAGCGTTCAGATCGCTTACAGGCAGTTTTGGTACCAGAGATGGCTCTACCTTGTCCCAGCTAAGACGATGTAGGCGGTCATAACAAATTTTCATCTTCTCCCGTTTGTTTTGAAAAAAAACGTTGTAGAAATGTTAGCCTGTCCAGGAAACACTATCACTGTGATACTTTGTTTCTCTGTCTACTAAACACAACCGTTCCCATGTCTCACTGCCAGACCCTTACTTGATAAGTGTGATTTGACAAAATTATAGCTAGGAGTCAGGCAGCAAACGTCTAATAAACACTCGGCAACAGGAATTAATTTATTCTGAAATAACTTAAGCAGAATATATAACTGCAACATTTTGACATTATGTTACACACGCTTTCTAATATGACGTTCCAAATAGTTATGGCTGCAAAGAATAATATGACCGCTATTTCGTTCTTTGAAGAAATAATAACAGTAATATGAAATGACACCTGATGAGGGCCAGCGTTCGGAAGGAGTCCTTTCCTACACGTCGCCTCTCACCGTAATTGAAATTCCTCATAAGTATGCCTTCAGTGCAGTGTCTTTCGAAAAAAATAATTCCACACATCAGTATTGAGCATAGACACTGGGGCGCGTCTGCGTAATGTTCTCCTGTTTCAGTCTTCAGCTTTTCAAAACTGATTCAGAGATATTGCATATGAACTGGTCATGACAACAGTTCATAACCACCAGAACGGATGTTGAGTGTTTCTTGGAGCATATTTATAATCCTAAAATCTGCAGATCCTTCATGGTCTTAATAAAAGCTATTTTATAGAACCATGACGTGTCTGGTCAGTGTATAATTCCCTCTATCCCTGAGAGAGAGACTCTATAATAATACTTGCTTTTGTCAACTTCTAAAATACACCGTCTATGTAAATACCTGACGTTTGCAGAACTTTTAACTTCTTGGACGTGGCCATGCAACGGACGGAGAGGGGAAAATAGAGCTAGTCAATTCGTGAGAGATCAGTGTTCATTGTACGTTGTTACTCGCTAGCAGCCAGCCGGAACGTCACCTCTGCAGGTTCAGTAAGTGTCGCTTAATGTAACTGAAGTTTTGTAATGTTGGTGAGTTCCAATCAGTGTAGCTGTTTCTTTTGAATTGATCCATCGTTTATTACACTAAAAACGAAGCCAATCCATTTGGATAGCTGGCTCTGGCCACGGATTAGATTTTATATGGGACCCAACATAATAGCTCCCGATATGTAGTTGTCTCTTGTTTTAGAATCGATGAGTCAAGTGGAGAGAAACATCAATATTTAATGTCCATTTGAGTGAGTCAGTGTTTGATTACACCATTATTCCCGGGTTAAATAATACGTTTCATAAAGATGGCATTGAAATGAAAGTGTAATAATATAAAAAGAATGCCATTTACGGTAAAGATTTAAAAAAGTTGTCAGTGGAACGACGGTTCTGGAGAATTTGACGTAAATACGTCTATACGGAAAGGAAGTTTATATATTGGCTTTATTCTAAATATTTCCTTTATACATGCTTTACAATTGAGTAAAGTTTGATTAAGACTTTGCTTATTTAACTTGAATTAGTTACGCTTAAGATGGATCTGTGGTAGCTGAATGTAATGTAATGTAATGAAATGTAGTGTAATGTAAGGTAATGTAAGGTAAGGTAATGTAAAGGTAAGGTAATGTAATGTAAGGTAATGTAATGTTGTATAGGTAACAAAAATGCCGAGTAAATAGATGTTCCTTAGGTAACCATTATTGTCGATTTGTTGATAAACAGATGAAGTTTCCCAGGTAACCATTGTTGTTTATTTGTTGATAAACCATCGTTACACTTTTTCGTTCCACTTTTTCGTTTCACTTTTTACCGGATGACACCGACCCTAAAATATAGACGTATTTACGTCAAAAAATTGAGGAGAAACTCGTTATTTATCTCTCCGAGTTTATGAAACTTCAGAGAATAAAATATGACGCTATCACAAGATTATATAAGAGTGTGATGTTGTGAGAATTGTCTAAAATCTTATTATAATATATCCATACACAACAGTTTAACTTCGTGTCTTGTATTAAGTTCACTTGTGACGATATGTTTCGGGTTATAAACCCTTCTTCAGGTCATCTTTACCTATTATGCATTATTAGTCTTGTTGAAAACTGGAATATTGATTGTCTGAAACGCAAAGGTCACTTAAAATATATGTTACACCATTTCACTTGGTTGTTACAATAGTATGACACAAGTTTGGACTCGGTGAATTAAAAATCAGTTGGTTACTGTCAAATTACGATCAAAATAAACACGTCATTGAATAAAACTATGTGGCTATGTGGCGAGCCATGTAATTGTTAACGTTCGTCTTCAAAATCGAAATATATCGTCTCGATCAGATTACATCAAGTCGAGAAATGTTTCAAACAAGGGTTATATACCCTTGAGAGATTAAATATGCTCCAGTATCTTTAGCATAGCCTACGGAGATTCATGACGCGGAGGGGTTTGATTTAAGAAAGTTCTTTATTGTTGCTGAGTCAACAAGCCTTCTGCTTTCGACGCAGGAAACTGCGTAATGACGCTACATAATTTGTTCTCATAAAACATTTGGTCCAATTGAGGAGGATGCAGTGGGCGGGACATATAGCAATGGGATATGGGAAATAAATACAAAAATTTTGGTTGGAAAACCTGTAGGAAAGAGGCTACTGAGAAGACCTAAATACAAAGGGACAATAAGTATTAGAATAATTCTTACGGTAATGAGGTTTAATGGTGTGGATTGTGTTCATCTGGCTGAAGATAGGAACCAGTGACGGACTGTTGCGAACACTATATTGAAATTATGAGGAATAATTTCTGGATTAGCTGAGCGACTATCAGTTTGTCAAAGAAGATTATTGATCATTTAATTTAGATGCTTGAAAAGAAGGTTCTCTGGAACTTCTTGGGCCCACGAGGGACAAAGAAGCCATGACCAGTGATGTAGTGTGAGGGTGGTGACATGAGAAAGATCAAAATTGACATCAGTGAAAGTCGGACAAGGGAGACAACTTTGTGGTTAGCAAGTCTAAACATTTTTAAACGAAACGTTAATATATCAGGGTCCTATTATTTGCGATAGGTACTAATTTGGACTGGAAGAAGATAAATGATTTGTATTCTTTTGTTTGCAACCATGTTGTGTTCAATATCGAAATATTTCGGACATAGATGTTGTGACATGATATCACAGTTCAGTTTAAAGTGTGCTTGTTTTGTGTTTGGGAAATTCGTGGCTAGAATCATTGGCAACGAGGCCATCAATTATGAGTTAGATTCTTTGTGGTTATTGGCCTATTAATCATCTCAGCAGAATGAGTAATTAGCCAACCAAGCATTGATGCCATGCTTCTGCTATAAGGTAAAAGAGTCTGATTAGAGTTGTAAGAACAATTAAATACCCTGTGTCCCGGCGATGTAGTCTACAGCCATACTAGTCTAATATTCAGAAGGACCCGAGGTCGATTCCATTCGTGGCTACTATTACAAGCAAACGGGAATAAATCTGATTCACACCACAGAGTTATAGGACCAATAACAGGTATTTGTGGTGTAGAAAGTGGAAACAAAGCACATTTCTCATCTTAATCTTAATTTCATTGTATTTTTACTCATCCTTCAGTGTCAACGAGGTATTCGACAGGACTGGCTAGCCGGAAAGTTTTTAAAATTCGAAATATTTTTTCTGACTTCTCTCTGAAATTTTGTTGGTCCGCCAAGGAATTTGGCATTAAAGAAGGCTACCACCATTCTCTTGCAAACAGACACATAATTATTCTTATGTAATTAATTTGATTCTACTAATTATTGTTTTCAATTGTAATACATTTGGAAGTGCCTGAGGTAAAGTTGATAATCGGCTTCCTTAGATGTTGGTATTATTTCGTAGGATTGGCGGATAAGTTGAAATAGCTAAGTATTTCAAATGTAGAAGATTGTCAGTTTGTGGATACTAATATGAAGAGTTTTATTCAATCTCAAGACAAGATAAAGTGAAGTTGAACAGTAGGTTACTCAAAGTTAACGCTATGACTTCATGACCACCTTTTGCTAATGTACCTTGGGGTCATACGTTTATATAGGATATCCAATAAGGTGGGGTTTTGACGTAAATACGTCTATACGGAAAGGAAGTTTATATATTGGCTTTATTCTAAATATTTCCTTCATACATGCTTCACAATTGAGATAAGTTTGATTAAAACATTGCTTAATCAACTTGAATTAGTTACGCTTAAGATGGATCTGTGGTAGCTGAATGTAATGTAAAGTAATGTAATGTAATGTAACTATGTAGGTAACCATTGTTGTTTATTTGTTGATAAACAGATGACGTTTCCCAGGTAACATAACAATTAAGTTACACTTTTTCGTTTCCCTTTTTCGTAACACTTTTTGCCGAATGACACTGACCCTAAAATATAGACGTATTTACGTCAAATTCTCCGGAACCGTGGTTCCACTGACAACTTTTTGGTGGGGTGAATGATCAGGTCGAGAGGTATGAGCGTGACCCCATTTACAAGTAGCAATCACGTTACAGCCAATGACATCATAAGGAAAAAGTGTTTCACATCACAAGAGGCACGTTTATAAGCTATATGGGCCAAACCAACTATTAATAACTACAATAAACACACACACGTGGAGGTTCTCATATTGCAATTGCTTAATATCAATTTGTGGAACAAGGACCTATGTTACACAATCACTAAATAAAATAAGAAATAAGATGTAGAAGTTTTAAATTTTCTTCTAATTTCATTAAAATATATTCTTTTCCAGCTCATATCACTGAAATATGAAAACGATATATTTCAGTTTACTGGCTTTAAGAGAATAAGAAACAAGACGATCGGTGAGCATGGAAACCATCGAATGTAATGGAACAAATACAGTGGCCGTGGAGAACTTGTCGGGTAGCTTCATTTCCAAAGCAGCTACGACTACTAACAATTCAGCGCCCTCATTCAGCAACAGGAAAGTGGAACATAAAAGCAAGATTATTTCGGACCTCGTTGTTTCTTCTCAGCTGACGTCCGAAGAGCGTGTTTCAGCTTCAAATGCAGAAATTTCGTCAATACGTAGTGCAAAACGTAAGTGTGCTTCACGGACTATAGAATGAACACTTTGTGTACTCCACATGTCATAGAATTCTCGGGCATTTTGTGTACTGACTGAATGGTTTAAGCGAAAAATGTAAAGATAAGAAGATTTACGCGTTGCTTCGTATAATATTTATATATTCCATCAAGTAACTCTTTTTGCGGGTAGTTAGAATGAAAACAACGAGATATTCAGAACCTACCATAATCTAGCTCAGATAGAGCCAACATATTTTTCACATTTTATAGGTAATCTGTAGAATAACTAATTGAAAGAATGGAGTGTGCAGAATTGAGCTGTGGTTTCTATATTTTACTCAGGAAAGTTTGAAAGTACGACAATTCGTTTCTTACCACAATATAACTTAATAAAAATGCAACCAAAATTCCTAAAATTTTGAAATTTATTTTGACTCATTGTATTACATGGGGAAAATGCTTTATTCTATACATCACGAGCTCTCAATTATTCTATGGATTACACAGTTATAGTGTGAAAATGTGCTTGAGTACATATCAATTCGATTAAGATTATACATTATGGGGATTGTATCTTTAAAGTCTTTGTATTTTTTACATAAAATTCCACTCCTTGGACTGGAACACAGCTACTTCGTTGACTTTCCACACGATGAGTAGTCATTACCAACGGATGTATGTTAGGATGGACATAATAGCTGGCGAGGGGATGGATGAATTGGTGTATTTTACCATTCTTCTTAAATCTAGTCGTGTTTACGTAACTAATCGCCAATGCTGCTTACAGTTTTGAGTTAAACAGATGAATGCTATTATGCAACATGTGTTGTTACTCATTCTGACATAACCCATTATCATTATCGTATTGTATGTATTGTGCGTAAATAAAGAGGATAGGTAATGGAAGACGTCAGTCAACTGAAGAGCTCGGATCCGTTCACTTGGACAAGATATGTCGCTTTCCTGGTGTTACGGTATGTTCCGACTTACTAATTATTTAGGACTTTAAATAACTTACAGTCGAATTATATGCTTCGAGATGGAAATAAGATCTGAAACAGAATATTATTCAGCAGGCTATGAAAAGGCAGAAGGATCGGAGAAAAGGCATTAGTTAAATGTTGTCGCTACTATTTTGGTACTTAATTCCGAAGGTTTGTGACGATGGTGCGGTGTTGAAGCAAACTGCAAGCTGGACATTATCCATCGCCCCAGATTTAATAAAATACGATGTTTTGGTGAATGGAATCTTTCTCCGTGTTCAGGTAAAACCTATTCTGTTGGGCCCAATCGAAAAGCTAGTCCATGTTTTCGAACAAGAGTAGTAGTGAAAATCGGGGCATATAATCGTGAAATTTTTTTAGCTCTTTGCGATGATTACGACTGATTTTGGGGAGGGGATAAGATAACACGGAAACGACGCGGACAAGGACTGACACGCAGAAAGGAATTCGCAAAAAAATCGGGAGAAATGACGTTGACACTTCAAACTGCTACAAAAACCATGGATTAAGACTGAAGTCTGCAAATATATATCATAAAGAGTAAGCTAAAATCAACTACGTCTTTGCATAAATGAATTTTCAGATTTAGATCACTATCCTCAATGCAGTGTTTTGTTGTATGGAATTCCCGAGGATTGTGCGTCTCCGAAGAAATATTGCTTAAGAAATGCTACGAAGTTCTGAATTCGTGTCTTAAATGCTTTCATTACTTTAGAGATGCACTTGTCAGAGGACAGAGGCACGACGGTCCAGGAGTTCTACAGGGGAGCCAATGTTCTGATCACGGGTGGAACGGGGTTCATGGGCAAAGTTCTGGTGGAGAAACTGCTCCGGTCCTGCCCACATCTCAGCAGCATCTACCTGCTGGTCCGAAGCAAGAAAGGCAAGGACGTAGGACTCAGGATGCAGGAAATTTTCGAGGACCCGGTGAGTGTGAACTGATTGTTCAACACTTTTAATGCCAGCCAACACACAAGGTGCTTCCGAAGCACGTGGCTTCACTTTAGGGGTGTATTCTATGCATAGAATCAAGGAAATTTGACTTCGTGAAAATTCGTCTTTGCACTCCTCCTACTAACGTAACACGTTTGGAATTTTTGAGCACGTGTGTAAGTTGCAAACTCCGATTTCAAACGTTTTCTCTTTCGAGTTCAATTCTGCGCTTTTATCCAGCAACA